CGCCCGCCCGCCGTCCGCGAGGGGGCGGGCGCGCGGCGGGCGGCGATTGGCTGCCGGGGCGGCGCGCGGCGGGGCGGGGAGGGGCCGGCCCTGCGTGCTGCTCCTGCGTCCGCTCTCCCGCCGGGCGCCGCGGCGACAGTTACTTAGCGGCCGTCCGCGGGCGCGCGCTGCGGTTCTCCGCCTGCCGGGCTCCACCGCCACCGCGCTCCGCGACGCAGCCGCCTCCGGCCTCGCCATGAGTAAGGAGACGAAGAAGCCGTTTCGCCAGAGCGTGGCCGAGTGGCGGCAGTTCATCTACAACCCCAACAGCGGCGAGTTCCTGGGGCGCACGGCCAAGAGCTGGGGTGAGCGCGGGGCCCGGTGACCGTAACGGCCGGTACCGCCGGTACCGCCATCGCGCGCCTAAAAATAGCGCGGCGGCGGGGGGGAGGAGGAGGGCGGTCGGGAGGGGCAGGTGGGGCCGAGGGCGGCGGTGCGTCCCGAGCTGACTCACCCCCGCCTCCCGCCCCGGCACGCGAATGCGGCGAGCGGACCCGCCGGCTCCTCCCCGCCTGAGCCTTGGCGGGGCGCGGGAGCGTGGGGGGCCCGTGCGGGCCTAATGCCGCCTGCGGGCACCGCGGGGCCGCGATGAATGGGAGCGGGGCGCGAGCCGCGGGTCGGAGGCCGCCGAGCGGGAAAGTTGCCGCGCCGCGTTCTGCAACGCTGGCGAAAGGACCGCCGTCCTGCGGCTCCGCGCCGATTCGTCCCGGCTCGGGGCTGCCGCGCTCCCCGGTTTCCTTCAGGGCGGCTCCGGGAGGCCCGCTCAGGTAGCCGGCCCGACTGCGGACCGCCGTCTCAACCTCTCTCCTTGCAGCACAAATATTTGGGCTTTCCCAGCGTGTTTTCTCGTATCGGCCGGCCGTACGAACGCTTAATATCGGGGCGTTGCTTCGGCCCTCGCGGGACGCGTTTACCGAGTTGAGAAAATGCCGCGTCCCCTCCCGGAGTTCGGATGCGGCCGGGCTGCCTCAGAGCTGTGCTTACAGAACCAACAAGGCTCGCAGCGTGGCACCAGCGCGGCCGGGCCTTGACACCGCCTCGATGGATGCTGATGTCGAAATCCGAGGAGGAGCCTGGAGAAGGCCGCGCTCTGCGCCGCCGACGTCTGTCCGTCAGGAGAGGGCCCTGCTCCGACGTGAGCTGCCCTCCATTCAGATGGAAATAAGAGCTCGCGGGCTGCTCTGCCCCCTGCATAGCAAGGGAGAGGAAATTTCCACTCTGCTGGGCCCAGCCGTCCCCGTGCAGGCAGGTTTCCTCATGTGCGTGGGCTGCGCGAATGGGCGTGCGGTGAGCAGGAGGCTGTGACGGGCACAGGGGCCGTGGGCATGTCACTGATAGCTGGAGCTCGAAAAACAGGGATCCTGAAACAACCTTCTTGTTGGGACCTGATGGATAAATCGCTTACAGTGTTGCCAGTCCAAGGCCAATAGATAACATTTTGTAGCAAATAGAACTAGCCGGTAATTGAGCTGCTATTTTGTTTCACAGCCAGCTGGCTAGATAAAAGATATTTTTCTACATCCAGAAAGTGCACATAGGCTTACATAGCGGTTTAAATAAATGATACTTTATTAGCTTTCTTAAGGTGTTTAGGTGATTGATGTGTGCTTTGTAGTGTAACGTTCCCTTAGGTACATGTGAAGAGGTGACTGTTTAACAACACTATTAAATGTCACTGTAATTTTTTGTCAACATTTGTCCTGATGTTTTGCAAGTAATATCTTGAGCTTATTTAAATTACCTCTCTGCGTATATTAAGTAAAAATAATTTTGGCTCTGTTAAGATGTTCTCGGGAGTTCAGTATTTGATGTCTTGGTCCCCCTAGCATCCACAAAGTAGTGTTTCTTTTGTTTTGCTTTTAATTGCAGAGCACTCGCTGAGTGCTTCTGCTAGTGGAGAATATGCAGGGTTCAGTCTCGTTTCTGCTTTTGCATCGGTGTGTGCTCTGAGAGCTGTCCCTCTGGCTGCTGCTCCCCTGTGGCTGCTGGGCTCCCTGTGGGGAGGCGGGGAGGCAGGAGTGGCTCTGGCTGTTTTGCTGCCTGTCTGCTGGGCCGTGGTGTCTCCAGGGACAGCATGGTAGGAATTCAGCTGGCTCTGATTCTTCCTGGCATATTTCTTTTGTTCAAGACAGTTTTTCTTCTCAAAAATAAGTGAAGAAATTGGTAAATAACTATTTGCTGTATGCATGTGTGTTGCCCTGGTCTAAGGCAGTCCTGGAGGCTGATCAAAATTGTGACCGCAAGTCAGTTAGCAGCTTTATGTGGCTAGAGGAATTACTAGAAATTAATGATGGATGACTTAAGTTTGTGAAGTTCTCAGCTGCAAGGCACACACAGTCCTTGAAACATCAAGAGAAGGAGGATCGGTGCTGGGGTTCTGCACAGGGTGTAGTGAGCAAGGCAAAGAGAGGAGAACTTGGAGCACCGCCACAGGGTCCTTCCTGTAAGGAAGGAGAAGATTGGTATCTGCTCTACATGTAATGACAAGATGCTGTGCCTGCCTGAGGCTGCAGCAAGAATGCTGAGTGAGATCATGCCAGCAGTACCGAAGCTGTGGTCAGGCCTGTGATGTCATGTCAGGCCTGGCTGAGCCTGAAGCTACTCCTGTCAGGGTGTTCAGGGTAGAGATGATGTTGTCTTGGATAGTGTGTAAATTCTGGCCTATTGGGAAGTATTGAATGTTTAGCAGTGTCCTTTAGCAGTGCAGATATGTGCTTGAAGTTAAGGCGAAAAACAAAAGTAACAAAACAGGGGATTCAGGTTTGCTTTGTTTGGTTTTCAGTGTGTTCTTGCTGGGATGCACAGCACTGAATATGCTGTCAAAATGTGTATGGATGTGTTGGTACAAAGCAGTTGGGCCAGAAGGCTGCCTTAATGTTGGTGGGAGTCACCAGTCACAGACTTGCCTTCCGCAATATTTCTAGTAGGAGCTGCTGAAGGACAATCCCAGAGACAAGGAAATCATGCAGCATGTGATGTATACAGCCATACAGGCAATGTTTCGTTTTGTTGGTGCAGGTAATGTCACACAGTTGCTTTAAGGTCTGTTGTGCATTTATCTTAATGCCCTGCATATGACATGTAGGCAGATCTGCCAAGCTGGTTTGTGCCACATTGACTAGATGTTTATCGCTTTGCCATGTGATGCTCAGAAAGCCCGTATTTGTCATGGGGCTCATGGCCAGATTTGGGTATCTTGACCTTTACTAGAGTCAGATATTTTAATTTGCAGGGTGGATAACTGTTTTGTTGTTGCAATGAACTCCAGGTAATGCTGACACCAATGTGTTGGTTCAGAAAGAGCAGTTTTCCAGTACTGCAGAGTATGGATATGATTCTTTGGTTTTCCATGTTGGTAGTGGTGCTCATCAGTGGGAGACTTGAAGGGTTTGACGCAGAGCTGTGCATGGCAGTCCTGCAGACCATGGAATGAGCTGAGCGGTGGCTGTGCTTGGGATAGCTGTGGAGAAGTGCTTTCCATTGTGAGTTGGGCAGATCTCAATTTCCTGACAAGAAGTCCAGCGTGATGTGAAGTTATTTTGGCTGAGTTTCTTGCCAAGTGATGGCTTGTTCTTTGTGATTAGCTTAGGATAATTAGTACTAATTGGCTCACAAAGTTCAGCGTGCTTAGTTTGCTGCCTTGCAAGTTTTGGTTTTTTTTTTCCCTTGCCTCCCCATTTTTTTCTTTCTTTTTAATGAGGCAAAGGAGCATAGATGGGGTACTTTATTCTAATGGACAGTGTTCTGCAGTGTGCTTACAGATAGATTAAAAGTCATCTTTCTGTGTGCATACAAGTGCTTTGCTGTACTGGGAGAGCAAGTGGTGTTCTCCAGACTGTGAAACAAGTAGGGTCTTCCTCGCCCTGCTGCGGCTGCTGCACCTGGTGCAGCAGGAGGCTGTTTCCTTGTAGAGTTCTGTAGCTCTGTGAGATGAGACCAGAATGGGTTGAAGTTGATTTTGGAGATCCTGGAAAAGAGAACTGTCCAAAGATTTTTGTAAAGCTTATAGATAAAGCAAATTGCCAGTGTCACAAATACAGGTGCAATTTCTGTAATGGTTTTTATTGAAGAGGATTTGTACCGCTTGATTTATGCGTCTTTTCAGCTTCTAAGTAACCTTAAAAATAGTTCATAATGGATGTCTAGCTTCTTCAGTAGGGAACAAGACTATTCCTGTGTTGTTTCAGGTACTTTGCTACGTGACTTCAAATCACTGTGTTGTATATTGTGTATCAGTAGTTCCCAAATGTTTCTTGAATAGCTGATTGCTTTCATATCATTGCAGGTTGGTAAGCAACTTTCTCAGCATGTGAAATTGATCAATATCAATTGATCAAAA